CCTTCTCGAAATCATGTAGATCTCCTCTTTTAGATTTAGCTCTTGCATCTGCTTCAAGATCTCATAACTTCAAGAAAGAGATGTACTTACAGCGGATGGAGTCGTGCTGCTAGACAGAGGCTCAGCGTGACCTGTCTAGAGAATGAGGTGCAGCATCGGCCATGGCAGGCCAAATGGCCCAAAACGCACACTTTCCAAATTGTCTTGGAGAGCCAGACCCAACGCGGCTAAATAAAATACAGAAAAATTCATAAATGCCCCAATACAAAATACTAGTTCCCAGTTTACTGTGTGGTGGTGATGTTTTCAGAAAAATACTAATTACAACACTAATTATTCTTAAACTAACTTCCAAAAATAGAGTAATGCTACACTTAAACACTTGGTTCACATTCACTTTCACTTTTACATCCCTCTCACATAGGGGGTGGGGCCCGCAATTTAAAAATCGCGGGCTCCACCCCCTATGTGAAAGGGATGTAAAAGTGAATGTGAACCAATGTGTGTACATTTAGCATTTTTGCCAAAAATATAGCCCAAACCACCTTCTGTAACTGAAAGAATTTGAATTCAACCAAATTCACGTTCTGCATTTAATGACTATTCCAAAATCAGACACGAATTCAAAAAAAATTGTATTGGAGAATGTCAATTACTTGGCACGGATTGTATTTTGAAACGTCATCGTCATCTATAACTGAAGAAATTTGAATTCAGCAGAATTCATGTTTTGCATTTAATGATTATTCCAAAATCAAACACGAATTCAAAAAAATAAAATAAATGTACTGGAGAATGTCAATTCTTTGGCACGCCGCATGCATAATATTTTGAAACATCATCTTCTACAAATATCATTTAGGAACCATTTTTCGTATGGGTCGCCAAATTTCGATATCTATTTCACACCATGTATGTTCAACTCTTCCTCCGAAATCTTTATACAATGTAGAAGATGGTTTGCAAGAAATATACATGTATAATGCATTATTCACGGAACATGAGAATACATTTATGCTTTTCTTACAGGCAAAGATATGGACAGTGAATAAGGCTGGTCAACATATTTAGCATAGCCATTTGGCAAAGAGACTTTTGGAGTCATATAATCACCATGTTTTTCTTCCATGTGTACTAAATCCATGGTGAAAAATTTAGAGTTATTCCCCAAGTACAGGGAATAACTCACATAACTTGTAAAGGATACTGTTGTGGCAGCATACTGTGCATTTGTGTGTGCGTGTATTTTTTTTTCCATCTTTGAATCTGTATTGTCTATTTCAAATTTATGTACCAAATATGTACAAATTTCCTGTAGGTGTAGACTGATTCAAAAATTTATGCTCAACAAGAAGTGAAATTGTGGCACACTCGCTGAGGCGATTCTCATAAGCTGGAATGCTCGACTCCCGTATATTCGGGTCCTTATATTCATCTATGCTCACCACATTGCCGATAACATATTTCTCAGGAGTTGGAGTGAAGCCAAAACTTGAATTTTCACATCCTCAATGCTTAGAAACTCAGTCAAACTTGTTTTCAGATCATCCACGGAAAGATCACTTGCACAGTAATGAGCTGAATCAGGTGGATCCGTTGATTCGCTAATGCTGGTTATATCTGAGAACTTGGTGTATCATGAAGAACACAAACATCCAAATGTGGCATTTCTCAACCTGTGACACTATAACGTGACCATTTTTGTGTGTATGCTGAATCGGATAAGTCGATAACTCAACAACTAGCTATATTGATTCAAATTAAACACTCAAAATATATAATTC